ATAAGATAAATAATAAGGTAAATGTGGACTTTGCCCCATATCTACTTCCTTGGAAACCAAATAATGAGTCAGATGATGGTGGGGAAAGGAAAGCAGAGAAATAAAGAATACAGTCCTGCTTCAGGTGTAGCAATAACTCGTCACAGGAAGATTATATTTTTCAAGTAATTTATATCATCAGAACTAAGAAAAAACAAACAGAGAGGTTTTCAGGCTTCTGTCCATAGTATTTCTCTACCTGAAAGAGTTTGCCTCCAGCTCTTTTTGAAGCTGGCTACAGTGCATTCATCATGACATCACCCGTGAGCCTTCACCAACTAATCTGGAAGGTAGTGCCCATCTTAATAGATTATTCCCTAAAATTGCATCCTGTTCATTTTCTTCATCGCACTGTACACATTTGTAGTTATTTATGTATTTTTGGTGTACTTGTTTCTTCTCGGTCTCTCCCACTAGTGTGTAATTTAATGAGGATAGGAAAAATTCATTACATTTCTAGCACTTACCAGAATGTTGAGCACACAGAGGTAATAAATTAATGCTTGTTAAATAGTATAATTAAATAAAGAACAGCATTCAGCAAAATGCAGTGGAGATTTGAAGACATTTTTTGGATAATGTTTGGAAATTCCTTTTTTGCTAAGTCTTGTGAATACAACTTTGTTATTGCAACAAAAATGATCACAAATAAATCGTATGACTCTTTGTTAGTATAACACTGAGCAGACTTTGCAGCTTCTTCCTTACGTTTGTAAATCAGTCAATATTTAAGGCAAGATGAAAGGGTATCAGATTGATGTAATGGAAAAAACAGAAAGAATCCTGGACCCAAGAAAATATGTTTTCCCCTGGTTTTCCTTATAGCTGTAATGTTGGGAAAATCATTGAATTTTCTCCTGGTCTGGCCACCTCCTCTGTGACATGGTGGATTCAGACTATATCCCAAGAACCCCACAATCTTTGTTTTTAATTTCTGGAATTTGTGAAAATATGTAATGGGTTTGTCATTGTTTATCTTTAAATAAACAAGTCAGTAAGTAAATATTTTTACATGTAAAATTTTAATTTCTAATTAAATATCAAATATCAGTAGAGCTACTCCACACACAAAAGAAGTTACCTGGGTACTTCTCAATGATTTTCAAGAATGTAAAGAAGTCCCACGTTCAAACAAGTTGAGAAGAGTCGATCTAAGAAAAATGCAGTGTCAGTCCTCGGAAGAGGAGTCCTCACAGGACTGACCAAGAGCAGAAAGCTGGAGTCAACCTACACGTTGTCCACTAGGTGACTAGCTAAGTAATAATCATCATAATAATTTATGCAGTATTTACCGTGCGCCCTTGCTGTTCTAAATGCTTTACTTATTACATGACTGAATCTCAGTCCTGACAACAAACTACTATTCATTCTGCAGATGGGAAAGGGAGCCCGGAGGTGTTAATGATTTGCTGGTAAATAGTGGTGCTAGATTTGCACCTGCAGCCTTACCTTAGAGTCTGTGTGCTCAGTTCCACTGCAGTTCCTGGGAAGTGGGGTATTTGCATAGAACAAAGCATCATACAGCAGTCAGGAATAATGGGTAAGTATTGCATAGCCTCACATGGGTAGATGTTCAACAAATAATGTTAAGTTTAAAAATATGGGAGGAAGGAGGGAAGGACGTGTACTGTAATTAATGTTACAGGAAAATATCATTTGTATATATTTATAAAACACACAAAACAGCACCATAAGAGTTTTCAAGGATAAAGAAGTACCTATTGAGGGTTTAGCTCAAGTGGTAAAGCTCATGCTTAGTATGCACAAGGTCCTGGGTTCAACCCCCAGTAGCTCCTCTAATAAAATAATTAAGTAATACAGTAATAAATAAATAATACTTTTTTTTTTAAAAAAAGAAGTGTCTCAGTAAAGTGTAGAATTTGGATTGAAAAGATACTTATTTGCTACTCCAGATAAGTGACTTATGGGAGGGGGGAAGATGGATTGGAAGGTGGGGAAATAGATACCACAAAATAAAATAAAAAAGGTCTTTCACAAAATGATGATAGTATGGCATGAACTGAATAGTGTTATTTCAATTTTTAATACCGAGGTTAACAAGAGCGAAGAAAACAGCATCTTATCCATTCCCCAGCCCCCATAAAGACGTAACCAACAATCACCCTGAAGAAAAGAATTGTCCCCTCTCTGCCATGGTGACAACTACACGCCCAGATAACTATATGGGAAACAGGTAGCTCTTTCAGCGTTACTTTTTATCAGTCTCAGAGATTCTGACCCTGATCTATGAGGCTGTCCTCTATAAGAAAGGGTGGAGTGTGGTGCCTGCAAAACTTGTACAGTGGGGCCGAATCCCTGGAAGGATAAGAACCCTACTGATGTACCTTCCAGAAACCTAAAAAATTGACATAAAATACCCTCCACTCGTTATTAGATCCCTGAGCCCCTTTTATCTACCACTCTGATTTTCTTTTTGCTGGAAAAGGAAATGTTTATTTCCCAATTCAGCTAGCATGAGAATTCAGTGAGTCAGAATGCTAATTTTGTGGTAAGGTTTTGTTTATGTCAGGATCCTTTTGTGTAATACTTTCTGTTCCTTAGACAAATCTGAGTATTTCAAATGATTTTTTCCTTAACTAAGCCTTGAAGCAATAAAAACTTAAATTCCTTTCTCACAACAAAACAAAAGCAAAACAAAACAAAACAAAAACTCATTACTTCTCTTTCATTGGCATCTTGTATCTCCTTCTGGAGAAACTTGACATTAAAATATAATTTTGTGGAGCTCCCAGAGATGTTTCCTTCAATCCCTTTGGATCAGGGCTCCATCTCTCCAGTTCTCTAATGCACTCATAGCCCTTTCTAACTTCTGCTATTAAATTACCTTAAGGATTCCTCTCTCCTCACCAATCAAGGAGCTGGGCATCTTTATTTATTTTTCATTTTTTTAGTCTTTTTTTTTCAAATTGAAGTATAGTCAGTTTACAGTGTGTCAATTTCTGGTGTGTAGCATAATGTTTCAGTTATACATATACATACATATATTTGTTTTCATATTCTTTTGCATTATAGATTACTACCAAATATTGAATATTGTTCCTGGTGCTATATAGAAGATACTTGTATATCTATTTTATTTACTTATATATTAGTTAGTATCTGCAAATCTTGATCTCCCAATTTATCCCTTCCCACTTCCTTTCCTCTCAGTAACCATAAGTTTATTTTCTATGTCTGTGAATCTGTTTCTGTTTCATAAATAAGTTCATTTGTGTCTTTCTTTTTTTTTATATTCTACATATAAGTGATATCATATGGTATCATATGGTATTTTTCTTTCTTTTTCTGACTTACTTCACTTAGAATGATAATCTCCAGGTCCATCCATGTTGCTGCAAATGTCATTATTTTATCATTTTTATGGCTGAGTAGTATTCCACTGTATAAATATACCACAACTTCTTAATCCAGTCATCTGTCAAAGGACATTTAGCTTGCTTCCATGTCTTGGCTATTGTAAATAGTACTGCTATGAACATTGAGGCACATGTATCTTTTCAAATGAGCATCTTTAAAGAGCTGAGTATTCATGAAAATCTGTTTCCAGTTGCTAAAACCACCCTTTCCAGAGGGGATTAAGTCCAATAGGAGGACTTAATGTTTTGAAATGTCGTATGTGTTGAGTTTAGAGCCTGAGCTATTTTTAGGCCTTTTCTTCTCCTTGGCTTCCCCCTCTAGGGTACTGACTCAAGTTCCTTCTTTCCTTTTATCTGAAAAAGTAGGAACAATCTCTATAAGAAAACATTGCCTTTTTCACCTAGAATCCACAGAATGAATAGTTTAAAAGTGCAGATGGGGAAAGGGGCCCTCAGGCTGAGGCTGCAAAGAAGATGTACCCAGATTGGAATGTGAATTTGTGAAAAGTTCTAGAAGAAGTGAGACAAAGTTTTTAAGTCCCGAACTGCAACCTCCATTCCTCACACACACTTCCTCACAGACATTTATTTTAAAGTGAAATCTACAACTTCCTCTTAGCGTAGGGCCAGACAAATAAGGTTTGAAAAGAAGAAAAGAGCTAAATAAAATGCGTTCTAAACATTACCCAGTACTTATATTGCATGAGGTCTAATCCACATTTTAGGAGCATTTTTCCTTCCCCAGTTTGACCCATTCTGTGGGCAGGCCAAAACTCCCCCTAAGTACCATCTCTGAGCCCGTTTCTCCAGGATGCTGACCTTTTTTGTCCTAAATATTCATTTCTTTCTACCTCTGACATTAATTTTAAGAGGTAGACAGCATTTTCCTTGGTCCTGAAACATAATACTCATCCTGTAAAACCATCACATTACCTTATCCTTATCCTCATTACTCAGAATTCTTAAAATTACTCCCTCTTCTCTTATTTCAGGTTCCAGGTGAATTGAAACAAAATATTTCATCAGACCAATGACACATCTCTTGGAAAGTGATTTGTTCCACACACCAGTGCTTCTTTATATACAAGGTTCATTATCCAACAATATTTATCAAAAGTCAAAATGCCATCCTTAATTTTCATACCCTCTTTATATGTCATGTATTTCATTTAGGTCTTTGCTCATCCTAGTTCCTACGAAGTTTTCCCATTTATTACATAGCTTTACAGTCAATTTGAAGAATAAAACTTTTTATTGTTTTCTAGTACTGAGGGAAGCATTTCATTGGTTTCTTAATTTTTAAAGCCCTGGCAATAAAATTATTCTGTAAAATTCTACTGACACCTGTTGTCCTTAACAGTTTTCTGTTGGGGCGTGGGCAGTGTTGACATTGTTTGCAAACATATAAAGGTAAACCCAAGGAGGAAGGAGTTTTGTGCTTTTATTACAAAGGGAAACAGAGCAACCCTGGAAACTGAGGAGTGAGAACTGTTCAGTGCAAACTCCCCGAAAGGCAGAGATCTTTGGACTTCACAGAAGGTCCCATTTCTTCCCACGACGCCTGCTCCTCCCCTTCCCCCTTCCTTCCCGGCCGCCGCCCAGGGCGCTCACAGGAAGGGCTGGCTGAGGGCAGGACCACAGCTGACTCTCCAGGGCTGGTGCTCGCGTCCTCCCACCTTCCAGGCCCCGGACTGACGGTCCCCTGCCAAGAGAGGTGACAGCCGCGGCACCCCTGCGCTTCCTGTCGCCGGCGTCCGCGCGGACCATGCTTTCCAGCCTGCGGAGGTGGGGCGCCAGCAGCTCCTACGCGCGGCTCCCCCGGGGCCCCCAGGCGCAGGTAAAACTGCTCGGTCCGGAGCGGGAGGGGAGAGGCGGGGGGATTTTTCTGGCCAATTGGGGTTGCTGGGGGGTGGGGGGACGGGGAAAGGGAAGTAGGAAGAACTGGCTGTCCAGACCCTGAAATGTCAACTGATGTCTTACACCTGCTTTCGTAGTAATCACCCACAGACCGGACGGACGGACGGACGTACACACACACACACACAGACACACACACACAGTAGGGAGAGCTGAGAACACTCCCCAGGATGGTGTGAAACTTGAGCCATCAAGACCTCAGTCGGGGTGGCTGCTGGAGGAAAGAGGCATCTTTGAAGGGATAATTGACTCCCCCATAAATAGAAACAAACATTTGAGAAAAGAATGAATGGACCTGACATCACCAAAGGAGTAGAAGTTGGGATGAAATTCCACAAGCAGTGATAGAGCCCATAAAAACCACAGGAGAGATTCGGGATAAGTAACACTTCTGTGTGCTAACTGACATGGTATGGGACACCGAGGTGGGGGCAAATCCAGAAACTGCGGACTCTTAACTGTGCCTTGCTCCGCCCCCGCTCCCCTCCCCACCCCACCCCCGCCCGCTCCCCTCCCCCCGCGATAACACGTGCTTCTTCCACAATAGAAGTCAGATGCTAAGGCAGTAGTTCGGGGAAATGAGCCTGCCTTGTGTATCGGGAACAGATTTTCCTAATAAAACTTCCATTTGTTTTACTTCTCATCGTTATACAAGACCAGGTCTTAGAAATAGCCCTTAAGACAAGTTTTGTAGTCATAAAAAAAAAAAAAGATTTCAGATTCAGGGGAACTTGTTCAAATCCTGGCTTTTGTTAGTAACTCCAAGCGTCAAATAAATTTGACAGCTATTTTTCTTATTACATATTGAACTATAAATTTCTTTAAAAGTAAGACAAATTACGTGTAAAGTACCCTTTTAAGCCTATAGAGTAAAGGTAAGTCCCTTGAAAGTGTACAAGAGCCCCAGCAGGGCATCGCACTGTTTTTACCTCACACTATAGAGACGGCAGGCTTAATCAGGTGAGCTGGTTTAACATCATTAGTCTAACTGCAGAGGTAGCCAAAGGCAGTGAGTTACAGACTTGTGGGAAATTAGACAACTCAAACAGTTCCCTCACCCCAAATTCCAGTGGGCTCTTCCTCTACGATTCTGACAACGTTCATTTCCTTGACTGTTACTCAATCTGGATAGCTTTACAGACCAAGCAAGAATCCATGTAGACAAGATTGAAAATACTCGTTTTAATTGCATTTTCTATTTGTAATTTCTTTGATGTCAAGTTTAAAAAAAAAGTTGATGCCTTCAAAGTATGTTGAAAGCCTTGTATGAATACATTTCATTGCTGAGACTTTATATTTTTGACATACTAGGTCTCAGATAAAATTCCAATCTAGCCTATAAACCAAAACCATGACTTTCTGATTGAGTTTCTGGGGATGGCATAGTGACCTATGAATAGAAAACCTCTAAAAAATTTTTATTGGCAGTAATTAACATTGATTCATCATACATTCATTCATCCAGAACATGTTATGAACTAGGCCCTCTAAATATAAAAATAAATCAAACCTAGTTTCTGTCCTCTGGCGAAACTAAGTCTAGCAGGAGGGAAGCACCTGTAAGTAAATGGTTGGACAGTCAGGTAAGAGTGAGGGTAAATTCAGTGAGGACAGATCTGAAGAGCCTTTAATTCCTCCTTGAAGAGTATGCTGAGATTGCTGTGGTAACGCAGAACCAGAATCTTGGTGGTTGGGTCGGGAGGAGAGGAATTACCAAAGGCAATAAATCCTAAACAGGATTGAAGCACAAGTAAGATTTAACCAGGAGAAGAGAAGTACAAAGAAGTGGACAAGGGGAATGGTATTTCTAAGAAGCATCAAACATGTAATAGGTAGAGTTAGGAGAGTGTGGAATTATGTCTGTAAGGTAGAATGAATTTACCAGATTCGATCTAGTCTCTTCTTAGTTGGAGGATCTTGGACAAGTTTTTTTTTTTTTTTTTTTGACTCTGTGCCGTAGTTTCCTCTTCTGTAAAATGGGGATGACAGAAATAGTCCCACCACAAAGACATGTTGTATTTAATGAAATACTTAGTACATAATCTGGCACATAATAAATGATTAAGAAACATAAGTTCATTTGCTAATTAGACGTTTTCCCTTCTCCATTAGCTTGGACTGCCACTTGCCCATAGCTTCCTCCTCTGTTCCCAGAACCCTCCTCTAATACTCACAAAGGAAGCTCCTGAAATTAGGGGCTATGGGGTATTGTTAACTGTAGCATCACACAAACCATATCCGCAAGAGGCCACATCCCAAGGTTGAACCCAAGGAAGATTGAGAGCAGCACAGTTCACTAAATCTTGGACCCAGGCTGTGCTGTGGTTCCACAGTCTAAACTTCTTGCTCCTCCATCATAATTCAGAAATAACAAGACTAGCACTCAAATGAAAATTGCCCATAAGCCGTGAATGTTAAGGCATGTTTATGGGATGCTTACTAATGCCCAGAGAATTTTCAGAACATTTTCCCCACTAATATATGTGCTTATTTTCCAAATAATATGTTTGCTAACAAGAGCTAAGATATTATAGTTCATATATTTGGTTGTTTGGGGCCACCATGTAATAAATGTTTTACATTTGTCACAGCGTTTACTTCTTGAAACAGTTATATATAGATACCAATTAGTTAAGTTACAGTTGACCCTTGAACAACACAGAGATTATGGTGCCTAGCCGCCTTGAAGTTAAAAATCTGCATGTAATTTATACTTGGCCTGTATACAGAGGTCCTCCAAATCCAAAGTTTCTTTTCTGGGGGTTCAATCAACCATGTAGTACTGTAGTATTTATTACTGAAAAAAATTCAAATGTAAGTGGACCCATGCAGTTCAAACCCATGCTGTTCAAGGGTCAACTGTGCATATATACTAAATATAATCCCTACTAAATATGCTATACCTACTAAATATGTCCATATGTATTTAATGATTTATAGTATGTCACTTGCTGTGACTGAGAGAATAGATTTGGAGTGAGTGTTCTGTTTTCTCTTCTACAGTCAGGACATTTTGCTGTACAGGATGAAATTTTGTTTCATCCATTGCTTCTAGAATCAGAATTTGTAAAAATTTGGTAAACACTTCTTGAATATGAACTCAGAACTGGATTAGAGGGGATCAATGCAAAAATTGTTAAATACGGAACAATTTCTAAGGATGAAATTGAATGCTGTGATCAATTGAACTTTTTAAAGTACAAAGATTGATGCTGACCTTTGAAAATGTAAAATTATTACTTTTGAGGCTTTCCCTTTTAAACATCTATTCTCGGTTGAACTCACTAGGTCAATGGGAAGAATTCTATGGAAATATTATTACCTCCCCAAATACTATATAATTGTGATAAATATATAATTATGCATGTATTTATACATTTATACAAATTATGCAATTAAACACACAGAAGGAAGTAAACTAAATGCCTATTATAGTCCTTCATTTTTCTATTTTTTCAGAAGAAGACAAAATATTTTTAATTTAACAATTAAAATGTTTAAATTTAGCTTATATGTGTATATATATATGCATATACATATATACATGGTCATATAATTCAAGGAACTACATATATACATAGATAGATAGATGTGTGTGTATAGAGACAGTATAGACATTTGTAAAATAATTTTCCTTTTCTACATGGTTTCTTGCTATGTAAACAGGCATAAATGTTAGGAGAAATCTTAAAATTCCTCTAGTGCAACCACTATTCAAGAATATTTTAATTGTATTCCTTAAAGATCATGATATCAACATAGCTGAAACACAAATGATTTCATGTTTACTTTTCTACTTGCTGACAAAGACATTTCAAATGTAAAATAAAGGCATTTTCTTCATACATTACTTGTTATATGTTTTTTTCTTTTTAGAAATGCAGTCCAGAGAAAAATGCATCATTCTTCAGTAAGATGACATATTCCTGGTTTAGCAGGTAGGCATTTTATTAATTTGGTTGTGGCATATCGCACTGAGGAAGATTCCAAGAGAAATGACAGCTAAATATCATTCCTCTAATCTAAGCATGAATATTTGTACAAAATAACCTTGTAAGGATTTTTTTCTCGTATGATTTATTGCAAAGGAGTTACATATGGTAACATGCTAGTACATACAGCACGTATAGTAACATCCACAGAGAAGACTACTAATACTCCTGCAATATTCTTTCATGGAATTTGTATCCCTGTTAGCACTAGGGGAAAGCAAAAATATATATAATTCTTTTACCATGAAGTATCGTCTAATCATTTTATATATACTACTTCATTTAATTCTCCCCTAAGTCTTATGAGATAGCCATTTACAAATGACAAAAATTGAGGCTTAGGGAGAGGAAGTAACTTGTCTGTTGGTACACCGGTAGAGGCACACTGACTTGATGTTAGAAGATAGTTTTTTTGAGTCCCTGTTTCTTGCTTTTTTTGTTTGTTTGTTTTGTTTTGCTTTGTTATTCTACTCTTTACTGGAAATACTCTCATATATACTTACCTGTCCTACTATTAGAACACATACACAATCATTTTTGTAAGCAAGACATATAATGTGGTTTATCTCACTGAATAATTCATCTATAATGTGTGATGAAGGTTTTAATGCAAGAATTAAATCATATTAAGTGAGGAAAGTTGATTTTTTTCTAATTTTACAGGCTCAAAAGCTTTCTTTAGAAATGTATTTCTTTTCTCCTATAACAAAAATTTTATGGTACTATGAAACTAAATTTATCATCTTAACTTAATGCTCCATGCTCTTCTTTTGGTAGAAACAAAATTGCCTAATTTCACCTCTAAATATGTTCTCAAGAGTAGATGAATCCTTTAAATAAAAAATAAAAAAGGGTGGTTGTATACTATATGCTCTACATTATGCTAACCTTTAAAAATACAAGAGATAAATGACCTAGATCCTGTTTTCCAGGAATTCATGGTAGAATTAGAAAGATTAAAAAGTTCACCATCAATTAGTCAAAAAGGCAAAAGGCAATGTAAATGTGATAGAGAAACACAATATTCAGGAGTGTCATGTAACCGTGTTGGCACAGTTGGGGAATGTTACATAAATAATTAATACTTTAACCCAACATTTAAAATGTGTAGGGGTGAGTCAAGTGGCATTCCAAGTTAGCAAATCCCATATGCAAACCATGGAAGCAGGAGAGAGTGTTGGTGTGCAAGAGATCAAGCTGGATGGACAGATCAGAAAGAGTTCTTTAGGATACTGAAGATAGTGGGAAGCCACTGAAAAATTTTAATTGATAGTGACATCCTGTTTACACCTGAGAAAATCACTTTTGCAGTTCTGTGGGTATGATATGTAGGAGATGAAAATGGGGACAGAGAGAGGGGTTAGGAAGCTCTTCAGGTATCCTGGTAGATTTATGGTTGCAGTCTGAACTATGGTAATGATAAAGATGAGGAAGAGGAAGGGACAGATGCAAGACCTATTTAATAGAGAGTTGATTGGATGCGGAAGTGAGGAACTGGAGGAAGTGTTGAATAAATCTGTTTCTAGCTCAGAAAACTGTGAGGTTTAAGTGTTGTGAAAAATTGTGAGTTCAGTCTGGAGAAGTTTCAATTTCCCATGCCTGACTCATCCCCATAAAAAATGTCTAGCAGGTGTTGGGTATGTAGGTCTCAGACTTATGGATATGGACTTGAGAGTCATTGACTGTAGATCAGTAGCTGAAGCCATGAGTATGATTGAGATCATCCAGAAGAAGAGCTTATTGAATAGGATGAGCAGACAGTATATTGGGCATCCTCAGTATTTAAACAGCAAGAAGAGGGCAAATCTCCAAAGGAAGCTAAGAATTCAGAATGGAAGAGACAAACCAAGGAAAGAGTGTGATTGAAAGGTAGGGAGACTGTCAAAATAGGAGAAAAATAAAGTGACCAATAGGGCCAAATATTGAAAAGGGATAAACTGAAATAAGAACTGAGCATTCTCCATTGAACTTGGCAATGGAAAGATGATTGGTGATTTTTATGAAAGCTGCTGAAGTAGGAAACTGACATACTTGATGAGCAAATAATTGGGCAGAAGAGGTTGAATTATGATAAGCATTCCAAGTTACACAAATCTAGGAATCACTTAAAGACAATGACAAAAATTTTACATCATTATGCTACATTAAGTAACACACCAGAAAAAAAAGGTTATGTAAACAGGGGCTATTTACATTTAATGAATTTGATTTTTCAAATTTGTATATGTATAGATTATGTTTTCCAAATCTGAGTTCTGTCTCATTCATGATTTGAGAGAAAGAGTGATGTCTACACTGGCTTTAAAATTTTGGGACTGTACGTTTAAGTTATAGTATATCATGGAATTTAAATGATGCAAATAAGTAAATATATTTTAAAAGCTTTTATTATTTAACTATAAAAACTATATGCATTTTTGTTAAATATTACAGACACCATTTTAGGAGGCCTAAAGTAAGGAGTTGAAATTATTTAATAAGCAAGATAAAACAGCAAATTTTAAAATTTGGCAACTCAGTGTCTTAAAGTCTGTATCTCAGCTCAAACAACCAGAAAGTTATAATTTTTGAATATCACACTTATTTTCTGTTTAAAGTTAACATCTCAGAACTAGATTGGAAATATTTTCGTGGCATGCCATTATCTGAAATTGTCATTGGCATGAATCTAATGTGCTTTTTTATCTGCTGTTCAAACAACTGATGTTGATATAGCCATTGTTTAAGAGAATGTTTGAAGACAGTGGTTAATTGTGTTCTCAGATCTGTTTTTTGAGTAACAGAATAAAGTCAGAAATTATTCTTAGGCTAAATTCAAGCTCTCATAATTATATGAATAATTCAATCAAAATGTGCTCAGATGACACAAATAATTAGGAAATTATATGCTTATGAGCCTTAATTCCTAAGGCAGTAGCTCTCAAGATCATTTTGATGATCAACTAATTATGAAGGCTTTATTAGCAAATATAATCTGTCATCAGTGTATAATAATCATGGTCATAGAATAATCCCCTTGACATACATGTAAAAATCTAGATAAAGTTTTTATAGGTCACAGTTGAATGATTATTTTAACTAGGGATACACTATTCAATCTGTCCTATCTTTTCTTCACATATTAATAAAAGTTGTACATTACCTGACTTTGTCCTAATCCCACAATTTTTGTACAGATTGACTTCTTGCCTTTTCCTATTATACACTCATTTCCAGAAATGTTTAAAGAGGTGATTAGCAACAATGAAAGCGATTATGTGACTACATGTCTATACTTTCCAAGTATTCAGTTATTACTGATCTACACAAGTTACATTTCATCTCATCCTCCCAGCCAACTGCTACCAGTTTACTACCCTTAACATCAGTTGGATGAGATATTCATGCATACTTGTTAATGTTAAATGCACTCAAAATTCTCCCTAATGTAACAAAATCGAAGACAGAGTAGAAATATTACACTTAACCACATTGTCTGCCTTTGGTTAAATTAGCACTGGTTTACATCATATTTAAAATGCTGTGACCAGTCCCTAGAGTTTCTGTTATTAATGACCTATAAAAACAACAAATTAATATTGCTCCACATTCTTTGGAGAGTTGTGAGGATAAAGGTAATTTAAGTGAATGCCCTTAGAAAAGAAATTTCTGTCTAAAAGTCACAAGATGCACATATGTACCTTTATAACTGCTTTAGGACTAAAGTCCACAAGTTTATGGGACCTGCTGCATGCTACATACATTTCACTCATTGGAAGGGTCAACTTTTGGTCCTAGGCTTCCAAAAAGCTGCTTCATCAGTTGATTTAAAGAAGCACCACTTCCTTTTTTCCTGAATGCTTATGCGTAAAAGCAAGACCAGAAGAGAGCAAAAGAGAAGGCGGAAGTACACACCTGGGAAAAGGGAAGTCACAGGAGTTAAATAACCAAGCCCACGTACATCACAATCAATTCAGCTTAAGTGTCACTTTTAGATGCTGCATTATTTGGAGACTCAGCATGAAAGCCAGGGGTCACTTATTCCCGTGAACCAAAACCGCTGAGTTTTGCACAGTTCTAACTCAAAATGCTGAGGCAGTAAATGTTATTAAAAATGCTTTTGTGAAAATCAATGCAATCTTATTTTGAAAATGAATATTTATTTTGTGGAATGGAATAGAAAGACTTAATATGACATAAAAGTAGGTTATTGCTTAAGATGTTTTTAAAAGTGCACTGCAGGAAAATGTCCAGCATATTGAGCCAACAGAAACATGATTACTGAAGTCCCTTTCTTATTACGTTTAAGCCTTTTTGTTAAATATGAATTGTAATATGACATTAGGTAGTATAATAAAAGTAAAATTGAATCTGGTTTCCACAGGGTTTCAATCTATCCCAGGGTCAATCAATTCATACTGTTCAGTAACAATGACAACAAAACAATTCCAGTTTGGAGTAGTGTAATATTTTGTCACGGTCTCTTGGGCTAATATACTTAAAATGGAAAGAACTGAAGCTATAGAGTCAGAAGGCCCAGGTTTAAATGGGGGTTTAATTTATTACTAAGCAAGTCATGTCATCAAGCTCATGAACTGAGTATATCTGAGCTACATCACTTAGGGTGTGTTTGGCTTCAAGCAACAGAATAGCCTAATAATAATAGTTCAACAAGTAGGTGTTTATTTTCTTATGTTATTGAGAAGAAGGCTGAGAATAGGCTTGTGAACTATCTCAGAAATGTTATCAAAGACCCAGGCCTTTTCTCTCTTTCCACTCCCCATCCTTGTTATTTGGCTTGTCACCCGTAGTGGCAAAGATGGCTTCTCTGTCACACAACCATTACGTCTTCAGTACAGACAGGAAGGAGGAAAGGGCTGGAAAAGGAAGGCAAAACTTCTCCTCTTGAAGTTTTATGCTTTCTTTTGAAGAAAGAAAGTTCTTCTCACTTGATTTTCGTTTAGATTTCCTTAGCCGTAACTGAGTTATATTCTCAATGCCAGGCAAAAGGTAATGAGAGTATCAGGACTGGTTTAGGCCAATTATAATTCATTAACTTTGTGGCTGGAATAATAAGGACATACTCTGTGTTCAAGAGATTTTCAACTGAAAAAATATCAAATGTTGGCTAGTAGGAAGATGCTCAGGCAGAAGGGATGGCTGTAGGGTAAGGATAATTCATTGTCTGTCACAATAACATTTGTAGTGTGACTAGACCATGCATCTTAGTTTGCCAGGGCCAGTCCCAGTTTAGACCCATTGTTCTTGCATAATTATTCACTATGTACTCTGGACAAGCTCTTTGAATGGAGGAGAGTGGAGGTACTAAGAGGCTGGCAGTAAGTTGCCATACTCCTTAAGGCATCAACTCAGAAATGGCATTGTCACATTGGCTCATATTCTGTTGGTCAAAGTAAGTCACATGGCTGAGGCCCAAGTTTATGGGGCAGATACAGGGACTCCACATCTAGTTGGACATTCTGTAAAGTCAAGTGTCAAAGGGCATATAAAACCCCAGTTGAATAGGAGAAGTTGCAGGTGCAGAGGATGGATTTATTTCTCTTCTGATAGAAGCCTAAAAAGGCAGTGTGGGTTTTGGAGTGAATATCTTACTGTGAAAGTTAGCTGTTTAAATTTTAGTAAGGAAGGCAGGGTAGGTTGGTACCTCCAAGATGAGATGATTAAATGAAGTAAGTGTTTCACTGAATAATTGGACGTCTAAACAGCCCTTTTAAAAGCTGTGAAAAATGATTATACATTATTGAACTTCAAGATAAAGTTGTATGATTTTTCAAACACACAATCTAGTCATTGCAACCTGATCAATAAGATAATTTATAAATCAAACTATGAAAAAAAATGCATGCAAATTAGTTTTAACTTTATTGTTGGTTTTGCTGAATTGTTCACCTTATTCTTTCATTTTTAGAATAATTATTTTAGGCTATAAGAAACCTTTGGAAAGAGAAGATCTTTTTGAACTAAATGAAAGTGATTCCTCCTATACCGTGTGTCCCATCTTTGAAAAACAATGGAGGAAGGAAGTTTTAAGGTATCAAGAGAGGCAAAAAGTAAAGGTAATTAATTGTTAAATACTTAGTACTTAATTACTGACTAAAATGAAATAAAGCTTGTTCCAATATGAAATTATTATTATTATTAATATAGAAAAATCCTTTTAATATGTGAAATAACAAGCCATCTCCGTAAGTACAATTAGTTGTTATCGTAGCTAATTTCTGTCGTCAAATTACTTATCATCCCTTCCTTTCAAAATTCAGGAGCAAAAGTGTTGATATATATATAATCTTTGGCTGCTCACCAATATCTTTTCTCATCTGTTGTGGCAAAGATGGTTTCTGTATCTTAGAGCTTTATGTCTACTGGTCAGAGGAAGAAATGTAGTGGCCAAGGCCAAAGTTTATTGGGCAGAAATAAGTACTTCACATCCAACATTGCATCTACACACATATCTTTAGACTTCCCCAAAAGAAAATGTAGTTTGAATATAAAAACATTTATTGAAACAGTTTCAAAACTCACAAGAGTGATAAAATACCACTATTTCTTTTCCATTTATGTTATATGATACAAATAACACCAAGTGGTCTGGAGACATTCCATACCAATGATATGGGTCATATGTTCAAGTTCAACTGAATTTATTCCTTTCTTGTTGCTTTATTATTTTTGGATTGCCTTACTAATTTTATGGTTAGCTTATATCTATTTTATGTCTTCATTCTGGCCTATTTTCTCATTGTTTTTATTTTCTTCAATTATGTAGTCATCGTTTCATAAAGAGACACATACCAGGAAACCATCTCTACTGTGTGCATTGTGGAACACCTTTAAGTTCGTCCTGATTCAGGTTGCTTTATTCAAAGTGTTTGCTGTTATTTTGTCCTTCACTAGTCCACTCATAATGAAGTAAGTTGAAGTTTTTTTTTTTCCTTCCCATGGGTAAATGATAAGCACATTTTTCACTGTAAAACTTGTAGTAAGAAAGAGTGGGGGAAGTTTCTTATTACAAATTTTATTTAGGATACAAGCATTCTGTTAGGCTTCCCTGCAAATATGAGTGTGAATTATGGTAATATAGTTTTTAGCAAAACTATATTAAAACCAGACATGTGCTAAGCAGTGTTTTAAAATCTTTATATTAATTATCTTCTTAAATCTTTACGACAATCCTATGACATAGGAAGTAATATTATACCCAGTATCACAATGCTGAAACAGACAAAGAAATTTGAATAATTTGCCTAAGGCCACACAGCCAAAAAATGCAGAGTTATGATTCAAATCCAGTCAATCTGGCTTCAGTATATGCTATGAAAATGAAATGATTCATACCTTCACTATTTTTCTTAGCTGTGGGTCTTTTGGGAATTGTGCTTTATCAGCTAAGGTAATAATATGTAAATATAAGTAAATATATGCATGTGCATGTATTTATATGTATACATAGACACATTTAAAGAAAACTTTAAAGAATTTATCTATGCAACACTATAGAACTAGTATTTCCATTGTATCTATTTGTAAGGATTCACAAGCAGACAATGAAACTGAATCCTTGACTGTATGCCATCTCTTTCAAGGGGATAGTTCCTTACCTCTAATTTTCATATGAAGGAAACACAAGGAAACATGTTTTTAATTATGTATTTATATCATAATATATTTAATATATAATTATATATTTTTTTTGCTTTGACTGTATTTCCAAGTTGTTGGAGTCTTTAAGAACAATTTAATTCATGAAAATAGAATTAATCCTGAGTTGTCTGAACCCCAAGTAATATCCAGGCACATATTTATCCAACGTTTATTAAGCACCTGCTATATGCCAAACACTATTCTAAGTAGACTGTGAGGATAGAGTAAAAGTCAAAAAGCCCCTGTTCTGATGACACTTAGAAGGGAGAGATAAATAATAAACAAATGACTAAATATGAATGATATTAAGAGCTAATCAGTGCTAAGGGGGAAGAAATGTACAGCCAGGTAAGGGGGTAAGGAGTGCCGGCCTGGGGAGTTGGAAGTTGCTGTTCTGTGTGAGGTGTTCTGTGTGAGACATTGGTTATGAGATGACATTTGAGCCAAGTTCCAGCGGAAGTTAGAGAAGAAGCCAAGGCCATATCTGTTGTAAAGAGGAAGAGCAAAGAGGGCTAACGCGCTGAGGCAGGAGTGTGCTTGGTGTCTGAGGACCCATAGGAGCCAGGTGAGGCTGGAGCAGAGAAGCTGAGAGGAAGTGATGAGACTGAGGTCAGAAAGTTTTGTGGGGTAAGAAGGTTTTTGAAGGGCCTTGTGGAATGTGATGAGGATACTGGATTTTACTCTGTGTAAGTCTTTGGAAGACTTTGAGCATTGATTGGTATGATGAGACCTCAGTTTTACAGGAATCACCCCAGCTTCTGTGTGGAGAATAAAGTAAGGACCAAGAGTGGAAGAAGAAGCAACTGTTGGAAGATAAATATAATCCAGGCAAAAGTCAACGGCAGCTTCAACTGGGTGGTGAAGGTGATAAGTGGTCGGATTTGGGCTTTATTTTAAAGGTAGCGTCAACACAGTCCACTTATGGATTGAATGGAGGTTGAGAGATGAAGAAAGGTGTGAAGGATGACTTCATACTGTTTGTTTAAGTCACAAGGTAAATGAGTTACCGTTTACTGAGGTATATAGAAGGCTCAAGAAAGAGTAGAGTAGGGAGTGGAATTTGCTAAATTTGAAATATGTATTAGCCATTTTGCAGAAAAGAATTAAAATTGCAGATCTGACTGTATCCTTTGGAAGGCCTGCTCACGGGGTGGGGGCTTTGGCTGGTGATTGGAACTTGGATTTCAGGAGGGTCTCCACAACGCTAACTGATGAGTGGATCAGTATGTCCAAATTGTTTGTACAATCAATATGATCCATGCTGGATATCTGCTTTCCTTCTGGGAGTTTGGGATTTTGGTGTGTGTTAGGAAAAGGGCGCCCTGCACGCTGAATCTTTAATGGGCTTCCCTGGTAGACAAGATGTCACATATTTGCCACGGCTTGTTGCTGGGGGATTAAGTATGTTCTCTGTGACTCCACCAAGAGAGGACTTTCTGAAGCTTGTACTTCTTTCCCCCTGGGCTTCACCCCATTCACCTTTTCCTTTCCTCATTCCAAGAAGCTTAGGCAAGTCTTTTTATGACCTAGGCTTGGAAATATCAGAATGTCACTTTAGCCATATTATTTTGGTCCAGCAAGTCCTTAAGTCAGCTCAGATCCAAAAGGAGGGGAGTTAGTTTCAAAATCAAAATGAGTAGCAAGGGATTCCTAGCCATTCTTAGTCATGCTCTGATTTCCATCTGCCAATGACTACTGCTCAAAAGCTCATTGGAGAACCACTATCTTTCCTAAAATAGCTATAGGTCATGGCAATTCAGTGTCTCCATATTCTCCCCAAATTTGCAGTCTATGGGGTTCTAAAGAATTGCTAAGTCCTCAGCTGTAGGGTAGAGAATGGTCTCCTTAATTTTGTCACATACTTTTATAACACACTAGCTTGAGCATATGTGCAAAACAGTCATTTTAATATTGCACTGAAATGAGTCAGCTGACATGTCTTTCTCCCTGAGTAGACTATGAACTCTGCCTCCATAGGTAAGGGATCTTATGTTATTCAATCTTTGTGACTTTAGTTCCTAGCCAAACACATTTCCTGAATGAAATAGTGAATAAGTGGGCTTATCCAAGTTACGCTTTTCCAAGAAACACTCATTCTAGAGTAGTTGGATAAGCTTAAAATCCCCACATTGAGGGACAATTGAGTTACAAGAAAGAATTTTACAAATTTGTATGATCATAATTTGAGCTTGAGGGGAACTAATTTTAAAAGCTAATTTTGAGATATATATATAGAGAGAGAAAAGTTACTGGAGAGGACTATCTTCAAGGATGAGAATGCATTGTCATGTCTCATGTGTAATAACCAAGCATATAAAAATAATACTTTCATTAATTTACTAGTAGAAGAAATGTGTTTTTTATTGATTGCGGTGCTTATTCTTTTTTCCCACTTACATGGATTTTATTCTAGTGTCAGTCAAACAAAAAAATGAGTATTTACATCTGATGTCATGAATATAGATTTGTGGTCTTTACCATGCCCTGATCACATATTATTTATAGTATTTCCTGGAAATATTTTTAGTATTTCCATATTAATACCTGGTGATAGTCATCTAGTTGTTTGACTTTATGAGAAAGGAAAATGTCTCACTGACAGATACATCCACAGTAAGAAGTGCAGTTCTCCTCTTTCAGGAAATTTAATTCTGAAACCAAGAAAGTTTTTAGTAAGTTGCTTTTGTAAAAGTAATTTGGTTTCCTAATGAATTGCATCTGATGAAGATCAGCTAAAAATATAGAACCTCTTGTTGTGTATGTTTTTATGTCAAATAGCTCACTAGTGTCATTGAAAATGTATAATACTAAAAATAGGAATTTTCAATGACTAGAAGTTTTAATAGGATTTCTAGAGACATTGGCATATATTTAGTTCCAAGGTACAATTTTAATAAAGATAATTTTTTGAAGTACTTGTTTGATAAAGCATTTCAGGCAACACGAATTACTTTTAACTGTTCATCCGTTAGCTGTCCAAGCTGTTAATAAAATAGATCAAAGCTTAGCCATTTATTTTTTTATTTTCCACTTTGAAAATGTAAACACATTAAAAATGAGTTTTTAAATTCATTTTTCTTAGGAAAAATTAGGAATAGTCTTGCCTAATCACATATGGTTTCCTTCTGGTTCTAATAACCTGTTAAGTTCACTCAAAGTGTCTGTTTACAATGACAAAGCACATTTGTGCACCTCCAAAGTTCAAAGTGGGAAGGGTACATTTCTAAAATATCTAATATTATACCTTTTACTTACCAAGTAAGAGGAACTATTTAAGTAGACCAAGAACAAAGCCTGCAAAATAAATGACATAGTAATTTGTGGTATCTCAGAGTATATATCAAAGTTGTTTCCACCATTATGTAGAGTATGTGTAGTTTTTAAAAATTATTATTTTTAGTCACAGATGCAGTTTTTAAAAGGTTGGGAGCACCTGTATAATGTTATTAACAGTGGACATCAGGCATTCTGAGTTTTAATCAGTGTTTATAGTGAGGGACAATAAGCAAACAAGAGAGTTATGGCTAGGACCAGCCTGGTTATCTGGCTGTACCCAGCATTGACCTTAATCATGATGACTGTGTTGTCATGAAACTTAAGAGGAAGTTAGTAAAGGTAGAGGAAAGGGAAATTGCATATGGATAAAAATAATAAGAAGTGAGATACAATTCAGGCCTTTAAAAAAAGTGTCTGTTTGCCATGCTAAGAGATTCCCTGCTTAAGTTCTAATTGTCATGTTTCCCTATATTTCACAAAATGCATGGTTTTGGGAAAAAAAGAGAAATTTCACATGTCTCAACTTTCATGATGAAGTCAGAACAGAACAATTAACTAATTGATGAGATTAGCGTATGAAAAGTAGAAATTAACCTTGTACCAAATAACCTTCTGCCTACAAGCCAATGAAAATAATCATTGACTCTACTTTATTATGTAATGCTTGAGTGAAAATAAAGGGGGGAAGGATGCCAAATTGGGCCAGTAGAGACAAAGAACAGGCAAGAGTGTTTGTGTGCGTGCGCGCACGTATGTGTCTGTGCGCTCGTGTGTGTAAATTTTGACAGCACTTAATTCCCATAAACATTCAACTACTTCAGATGTTTAACATTTCTTCCCTTTTCTCCATTTGCGTATGACATTCAGGCAAATGATCATTTTCTGCGAACACGGCCCCAATTTTGGCTGGAGTGGCTACGGTTATGCTTTGGTGCTTTTCATTGTCGTCGTTTTGCAAACTCTGATCCTTCAGCAATACCAACGTTTTAACATGCTCGCTTCAGCAAAAATTAAGACAGCTGTAATTGGACTCATCTACAAAAAGGTAAAAGATTGAAGGAATTCCCACCTTCTAAATGAAGTAGATCCTTATGTGCTTTAAAAATAAGAGAACTGAAAAAATAGAAGAGTATATT